GTAACCACATAATTTTTTGTTTGTTTTGTTTTTGTTTTTTGTTTTCTTTTTTTTATTTTGGTATCATTAATCTGCAATTACATGAGGAACATTATGTTTACAAGTCTCCCCTCTTCACCAAGTCCCCCCTACAAACCCCATTACAGTCACCGTCAACCACATTGTCTTTTCATGTGAAACCTTCATAAGAGTATATATCAATCATACCTTAATAAAAAATTTAAAAAAGAAAAAAGCACATATTGAAATACATCCCCTGTAGATTTTGGCTTTCTTTAGTAACAAAATGCATCACTTTTTTTCTAGAAAGCATCACTTGGTACTTATTTTATAAATACTTGTTTGTTTTATAATCAAATATAAGTAGTCAGACTTACCCATTAGAATACAAAGACCAATTGTGACAAATATGACCATATCTTGATCTTAATTCTAATCTTTTTCTTAACATTAAAAATTGTGACATATTCATACAGGTCATTGTGCTTTGAAAGTGAAACAAAAACTATGATGTCTTGTGGCCACTGTTCTGACAGACAATGTTTCGTAGCCGAAAGCTGGGAACAAATAGATGACTCAATAAATCAAAGTTTCAAATATTCACTGTATTAATTTTCTACTTATCATTTTCCTTTCAGCTATTGTGTGATACCACTCTTGACCTGACACATTTAGATTTATATTTATTCAATGTATTAGAGTCCTGTTCATTTTTTAATTTATGGTGTTTTTGTAAGTTGCATTATTTCCAGTTCTGTTTTCACTACTTTTACTCCTTCAGTGAATCATTGAACCATTTTTATTATTTGGAGGTATAATAAAGCATGCGCAAAAATGGAGGTTTAATAAATGTAAGCAGCACTCAAAAGTCATGAAAATATATTAGTGGAGATGAACTGAACTTGTTAATTAATGTGAACACATTTTGTAGAACATCAACAACCTTTAAAATCATAATGTTCAATAAAACTATTAGAAAAGTTCTGGGAAAATAATTCTGCTTTCAAACTCGTCAAAGTTATGTGGTTTGCGCTTTGAAAATCACTGAGTCAGAGAACCACAAGGCACTGGGTGTGGCAAGTGTTAGATGTCTTCAGAACGATGTGATGTTGCTGTACAGTAACCCTGTTCCCATGATGCCTATGGGACATGAAGGTTAATGCTTCATTTGGAATTTATTTTGCTTGGATTGAAAATGGGTAAATGTATTAAGATACTTAAAATTTTTTGAACATCTAGTTCCAAACTACTGCACTTCCCACTTTTCATTGTTACTTCCTACTCATCAGCTGATCATAAACCCTGGAGCTATAGGTTTATTTAAATAGAAAAAAAAATGTTTTACTGCTAGATGGGGAGTAGGAGGCAATGAAGGAAGCCAAGAGGAAGGAGATCTAAAGTCTCCACCTTGGGCACATGTATCTTCTTTGATCCTGTAGGCATTTCATTGCCAACTGTCCCCTCTTTTCCTTCATTTCCTCTTCCTCCTGTAAGTACACAGACAATTATGAGGAATTTTCGATTTGCAAACTTAAATATAAGATATATTTTAAAAGCCATGATTTTATTTTCATTTTCTTGCCTGGTGCCTGTCGCTGAAGGCCAGATTCTTCTCCTGTCCCCACCACCCAGTTCTTCCTTTACATATATTGATTATATGATTGACAACTATATAGCAGTCTTATGATTAATTAAGTTACGCTTAAATAATTTGGAATCATGTTTCCTTTCTGTTTCCTGATTTAGTCTTGTGCTACCATTCTTCTGTTATCTAGGATCAAAAATATTATCTTTCATAGTTCGTATTCATTCAGTGTTCCAAAACTTGGTCATTCTTTTCTAAGATAGTGCCTTATTTTCTTCTCTGCTGTGTTCTGATCCAGGTTCCTGTATGCTGAGATTATAATGAATTAGCCAGACACATTGATTCTAAGTGATAATTTTTCTAATGTTCAGTTTATTTCTTTAAAATTACTTTTGTCAGTACTTCTCTTTCATCTGCCCCAAATCCCTAATTTTTAGGAAATGTCTGAAGCCCAATTCTACCTTATATAAATAATCTTGCTTTCTACTATTCTCCAACATAGAAGGGAGTTCTTATTTACTGTGTGTAACTTGTCCCAGTACTTTACAAGTACTTTATTTTACTTCCCAGGTACTTTACATGTACTACAGCTTTAAATCTTCAAAGCTACCCTATAAAATTGATATTTCTGTTTCCTTTTTATATATGAAGAAAAATTGAGAGAAATTATGTGACTTATCCAGCATCACAGTTAGCATGGGTGGAAATGGAATTTAAGTTATCCACCTGTGTTATCCCCCAAAGCCTGCATATTTTCCACATCTGTCTCATAGTGAATTCACCTTTTATCAGGTATCCCTTTCCTTGGTATCCCATAATAGATCTATTCTTAATATCTTACTTTTGTTCATATGGCTCTTTCCTCCTGAAATTCTTCTATTCCAAATTATATCTTCCTTTCAAGTCCAAATTAATCTCTTTTCTGTATGCTTCTCTGAATTCTATTTCTTATCTTTGTTTCCTCAATTTTTGTAGCACTTTTAGTGTCTTACTTTATTTCCTATAATTTATATGTGTTAGTCCTCTGTCCCCAGCTGGGGTAGAAATTCTTTGAAGGCAAAAGCCAAATTTATGTTACTTTTTTAAAGCCCTTACAGATGAAGCCCACAGAGATAGATGCTCCATAAATCCTTATTGGCTCATTGTTCATACAGTGGTATTTTTGGAAGATTTATCCTAGTTTTCAAAGAAATTTAACTGAAATTTAAATAATTTTTCCTACTTATATTTCTTTCTGTACTGTTTTTTAAATAATTAAATGGTAAATTTAAGTTCTAAACTTCTACATTTGGAATCAAATCCTGGGGAGAACCGTATTTTTCACTTTAAAAGTTAATTTCACTGTTTTATCATGCTATTAGAATCAGTTACTTTAATATTTAAGTTCTGTGAATTAATATGAAAAAGAGTAATAATATATCCTGCAAGACTCCCAACTTCCTAATCTATTCTCCCACTCACTCACTTATTTTTGGAATATCAGTCAGAATATGTGACATATTGGAAATCATCTTAAATGCCCTTTCTGTAAATGTTAACTGTTATTAATATGGACTAGTGTTTGATAAGGTTAGTAGTAAATTGAACCAGCTTTGTTCAGAATGAATTTAAGTAATTTTGTTGCTTTTCTATGTTGGGATGATTGCTGTGCTTTAATTATGAATATGAAATATTTTATACTCAGTTTGCTTTGAGTTTAAGTGTAAAAATTGACGTACACTTCCTTTTTTGTGTAAAACTAACCCAATTCTTTACCTTATAATTATTTATTGTTTTTGAATATGTTTGTGTAATAAATTAATAAAAGGCTAATTTATTAGTTTTTCCTGACTATTACTAATTTGGATTGAATTCTTCAGTTATTTTCAAGTATTCCATAGAAGTATTTAGTTTACTCTGGGCTTACCCAGATTTCCTAGTGCTATATACCCTTATTTACCATTTTAATTATAACTGTATTTTTCTCTGGGACTTTTTTTTTTTTCTGTGATAAACCTAGTCTTTTTTCCCCCTTTTTGTTGTCTCAGTATAGGATTAGATGAAATGCTTTCAAAGGGATAACTTTGGTTAGGACTAGAAGGTTTAATGCATGGTGTCCAGGGTTAACATTTTTCTAATTTTCAAGGTATCCCTTTGCAACAAATCACTTCTTTTTGGAGCTGGTTTCTGTTTTATCAACAGATATAATTCTGATTAACTCTAGCAAAAAATAATCTGTTGAAAGGATTCACAGGTTTGAACTAACTAAATAAGTAGGCCTTGGAAAGATGGAAACTAAGTAGAAGCATGAACTGGTAGAACAAATACACTCACTTTTAGAGGGCTTTCATTAGTGATTTAACCCCATTTGCTCTGGTCCTTGTCAAAATTTAATTCCTAGAGGAGACAAAAGAGAGTTGGATCCTTGCCCTCACGCTATTGGTGGTGGTGATGGTAGATTGGATGTTGTGTGAGTGTGGTGGTGACTGGTATACAGGACTATGTGATAGACTGTCCTACTAGAATCATAAGACATTGCAATGAAGTGTACTCACTTAGAGCAGCAAAAAAAGGGATTCCAGACAGAAAAGAAAATGAGATGTCCACTAAGTTTATGTTTTTATTATCCAGTATTCAGAGGTTGACACATACATGTACACAAATCCAGGTTGGTTACTCAAGTCATGTTGCAACTATCCTGTGTTCCATCACAGACATACCTCTGGGGATAAGGACAACCCAACTACTACTTTGGCAATTAGGAAAAATAATTTAATTACAGGGTGATAGAAGATAGACTCTAAGCAGTTAACCTGAGATTGAGTGGTAGGTGACAAAGAGGACCCAAAAAGTACAGATCACAACTAAAGAATTTTAATTTGTCTTAGATGACTTTGAAGGTAGGGCAACTGTATAAAAGGAATAAAAGGATAGGAGATAAAGGTATACTATAAATAGTAATACTGTAATATCAAGCATATACCAAGCCATTTGGTCACCTTATTTATGAATTCTCTTACATGTGGATTAGTCTATCTTAAGGGAGTGGAATGTTTTATAGTGCTTATTAAGTTATTTTTTAGCATTCTTGAATTTTTGTATAATAATCACTTAAATTTTTGTGTTCTAAACTAGATACCATCTGTGACCATACAGTATCAATTGCTTTGCAGTTTTTATTAAATAAAAAGATTGTGATATGCAACAAATAATTGACAGTAAATTGGGAAATAGAAATCTCAAAATTATAGGTTTTGCTTTCATATTTTCTGTAAAATAAAGGATTCCCTACTTTGGCCTGGATAGATACTTTGGAGAACTAGGTTGTTTTTTAATGTATTTGTTTTCTTTTCCTACATATGTTGTCGTGGTTATTTTACTAATGTAGTTGTAATACTATCACTTACTTATTATCAGATTTTATTTTGTTTTTTAGCTGACATCTGAAATGTTTGAAGCGGATCTTGAGAAGGCATTGTTGCTAAGTAAATTAGAATATGAAGAACACAAAAAGGTATTTATACATTTATTGATTTAGATATTTTAGAAGTTTAAGTGGTTAAAGGTTAGAACCAGCCTTTCTGAATTTTGTATAAAAGTTCTCTAAAGTTTGTTAAACATTGATCATTGTACCAAAGTATTATCACAGTTTTTATAATAAGATTCCTCTTCAAGTTTCTGAGAGACAACAGAAACATGTGGACTAAGCTGTCTGGTGATTTGGCCTGTTAGGTAAGAAATTCCTCCACCCAAGATGAAGGGAAGATAGGAAACGAAATTAACAGGCAGGTGATTCGTTTTAACTTGTTTTAAATGAACATACAAAATAAGTAGTTTTAACAATTTAAATAAGTATGAATACAGGAACATCATTAAGAGACCCTCTGCAGAAGATAACACTGAACTGCAATTAACTAAAGTAAATGGAAGGCCATCTGCAATACTTAGGCCTTGTGAACTCAACATTTGTCACTAGGCTGTGGTATTGGGCAGTGTGCTGAAACGCATTCTACAGCTTGTAACTGTAGGAGCATTCAAATAAAAAGTAGTGTTGGTTTCCAGTTTCATAACATTTAAATTCTCACATATTTATTATTGTCATGTAATTTAACATTTTAGTCCTTTACAGGTCTTGGGAACTTGATATATGTTCAATTTGAGATTACTTAGAGGTTGATGATAAATGACCTGTGGTCATACTTAAGGGCCTTTAATGTATGTCTTTGTACATTTGCTCCTTCACTCAGGGTTAAGTGAAGAGAGGAATTAAAATTCACAGCATATGATTTTTCTGTTTGTTTAGTAGCTCAAGAGAAGGGTTGAAAGTTGCTGGTGAAGTGGACTTTTTCATTTTCCATGCCCCTGTTCCTGTGACACTGAACAATGAAGAATAACTGCAGTCTTTATTGTTACTTGTCCATTTAGATACAAAACTGGCAGTTGCAAAGATGGGCACAGCCAGCCCTACTAGGATGAGTCACTTAAATGGAAAAGTCCTCCTGACTTGCTTATTTGGAGATTAAATTTAGCAAATAGAGTATTATCCTATGATAACAACTTGTCTAGATTCTGATATTAAAAGATTAGCTATAGCTATAGAGGAGGAGTAGATGGTGTCGATAAAATATCATGCTCCCAACCAGTTTTCTTGGCTCAAAGACCTAATACGCTTGGGCTTTGTCACACAATGATGACCTCACAGAATGGAGGAACTCCTTTTGTATTAGATTGCTAACTTGATGTGATTACATTGATGTAATCATCAAGTTTCAAGTCAATATTCCAATGAGATAACTGATTATTTTAGCCTAAGGATTTTTATAATAACTAAAGTTTGGGATGGCATTTTCTATTCTGTTCTTTCACTCATTCACCAATTTTTTTTTTTTTAGTAGCCAGAATATGCTAGGCACATAATACAAAAATAAACCCAGGGTCCCAGACCTTGAGTTTAGTGAAGGGAGGCAAGACATGTAATTATAATGTATAGTATTGAGAGGTATGTTTCTCATTACAGTGAGAATTCAGAAAGAATTTTTTTGTGCTTTCAATGGGAATGGGTTTTAGGAAAAGATATTTAAAAGGGAGTCTTATAGTATATTAGAAGTTCACAGGGTAGGCAAGAGGAAGTAAACTCTCTCAGAAGGAGTTACAAGTATACAAAATATGTACATGTGAAAGAGTATAGCATACTTGAAAAACTATAATTTAGGGACCTAGAGTTGCTGGAAATACTGCCAAAATGATAGGATATAAAGAACCTCATGTAACGGGCTAAGGAGATGGGTTCTGTACATCTGTTGGCAGAGAGCTATTGAATATTTTTAACAAGTTTAGGTTTTTGTTTTAGAAACTCATGCTGTAGCAATGTAGAAGATGGATTGAGGGGCTAAAATTAGAGGGTGTTGCAGCATCAAGGAAAGGAAGATGGGAAATGACAAAGGTATGAAGAAAAGAGGGTAGATTTAAGAGTTCTTTAGTTAAACTCAACAAGACCTAGTGACTAATTTGGATATAAAGTGTGCAGGAAGAGTAGGGAGAGATGACTTTGAGGTTTCTAACCTAGCAGTTATGTAAATAGTGGTGGCATTGAACAGGGTACTTCCTAGAAGTTCAAGTAGGGAAGGCAAGGTGAACATATTTAGTTTGGAGATTGTTGTTGAACATTCCAGTTGTCTGTACATGCAGAAATCATCATGTGGAACTTTAAACTTTGAGTTTGAGGAACAATGGATATAAAGTATAAAAAGAATAGATTAAGAATGAAATAATGTTGAACAGCAACTATGTTTTTGAGAAAAAGAGTTAGGAAAAGAAAAGCCAGTGAAGGAGACTTAAGAATAGTCAGAAGTGTATTGAGAAAACCCAAGAGATGCTTGAAAAAATATTGTCTTTGGATTTGGCATTGACCAAAGGAGGAGGTATGGAGGTTGACCTTAGTTTAGTGGTAGAGAACAGCAGAAGCCAGATTTTGAGAAGTGAGGAGGTAAAGTGGGAAAGGAAATTGAATATAGATTATTGTCTTAAATTTCATCTTGAACTGAAGAAAGAGCAAAGAGGAGTGGTTATAATACAGCTTTTTGCTTTTATTTTAATATTTAAGAGGCAAGGGATTGAGTATATAATAAACAGGTACTTTTAATACGGTCTGGCTAGGTTTTTGTATTTTGTTTGTCTTTATCTTTAAAATATAAAACTTAAAGAAACTTATTAGCTATTGGTGAGTTGATTTTATTAATTTAAACTACGCTTAATTATTGGTAATTCTTTTTAGGAGTATGAAAATCCTGAAAATGCTTCGGCTCAATCAAAGGTTATGAATAAAAAAGATAAAAGAAAGAATCATCAGGGAAAAGACAAACCTCTCACAGTGTCACTAAAAGATTTTCAAACTGAAGGTAATTTATATAGGAAATCAGTTATTCTCAAGAAAGTATTCTAAGTCTTTGTACACTTAAGTTGTAAGTACCTTCCTAATTTTTAAAATAAGTAAAACTTGTTTTGTGAATGTATTACTTCGAATGTAAAAAATATAAACCTGGTTGGAAATAAATGACTTGGGATTAGAGTAATTTAAAATCAGTCATTAAAACCCCATAAAACTTTGGTAAAAATTTCTTTTTTGTATATATGAATTTGTTCTCTTTCTGAAACTCACTAAAATGAAAATTGATATTTGTAGTTTTTGAGTCATCATGAAACATTATCATTGTCCTTATATATAAAGTGATTTAGCTTATACTACACCAGGAATAGTATCTTCAGATTTCATCCATTTTCAGTCAGCCTCTTCAGGTTATCTGGAGCTATATGTCTTAGAAAATTAAGATATAAATTTTTAGAATGAAACCTATTACCAGAAAACTCTAATATCATTTGTATTTTTTTCTCAGAGAAAAAGAAGAAAATTATACTGTCCACTAAACTTTTGCATATAGACCACAAAGCACATTGTTTTTGATGTAAGAAATAGTAAAAACCCTAAGTCTGTGCTGTATAATATGGTAGTCACTATTCATGTGTGGGTGGCAACTTAAATATAAATTAGTTAAAATGAACTAAAAAAATTCCTTAATTGCATTGGCCGCATTTCAAGTGCTCAGTAACTCCATGTGACTAGTGGCTTCTATATTAGACAGCACAGGTATAGAGCATTACTGTCATGACAGAAAGTTGTATTGAACAGCACTATGCTTATGCTAGCTAGTATATTTGTGGACCAGATGAGAAGCTATTTGTTCATTGATAGATGATTCCCATGAATTTAGCCTTAAAACATTAGGTATTTGTTCTTTGAGGACTAATAATACCATGGCAGTAATCTTTTTTTTTTTAATGAAATACTTAACTGTTTTCAGAAGTAAGCTGTCTGTGAAATTTAGAATAAATTTAGAGGATTATATTGCTTTCCTTTAACAGTCAGGAAAGTTTTTTCCTATAATCTGCCTCTCTGATTAAGTTGCTTTGCTTTGGCGTTAAAAGAACAGATGTATGTTAAAATCTGATTTTAGGAAGAAAGATTTTACAGAAGAAATATGTTTCATTAAAAACTAGGCAGAAACATAAAAAGAATGCTTTTTAAAACATATTTTCCATATGTTTGACTTATTATGTAAATTTATTAGATGGAATGAGAAAGATATGAGTATAATACTGTTAAAGGGAAGATACACACAACTCTTTCAAGGCACAATTAACACAGTCACCATTCTTCTTCAGGTGCTAGCATCATGTTATATGCTAGAAGAATGACAGTAACCCACCAGGATTTGGTAGTTTGATCTGAAACTTGTGATTTTGACATTTATTGTGTTTATAGACTCTATTCTGGTTAATGGATGTTTTAGAGAACTGAACCAACTTTTAGATTCTCCATCATAAGAAAGCTATTCTATTAAATTATTTTTAGTCCTTGAGAATGGAAAATTCATACTGTGCACAGGAAGCATTGTTAAATATTAGACACCCTGGTCATCTCCAATTTAAATAAGAGCACTTGCTTCCTATTTGTACTTTTCGTTTACCGTATATATGTGTGGATTCCCTTATTTTTTCCTTTTCCTCATTGTCTAATCCTTTTCCAGAAATGCTGTTGTTACTAAGTCAATGATTTGCTTAATTTGGATATGTTAGTTATACCTTCTTTTTTGTATTCATATTTTAAATATACATTTATTTTTAGAATTTTTTTCATACTACCACCAAATCATTATAATGTATATTTTTTAAATAACAAAAAGCTAATAGTTTTAAAGGACACAAATTACTATTCTAATTTTTATTTCATTCCACAAAGGCAGTGATCTATACAGTTTTTGATAATAGTGTTCTGTTACTTGATTTTAGATATATTTGTTCCCCCTCAAGCACCCTGTCCCCCCAAAATTATGAAAAACCAAAAGCCTAAATTACATGAAATTCACATATTTAAAATTTAATAATACCCTTTGATATGGTTGGCATTTACTGAGATATAAGAACTAGTCCCTTGTTGAGAAAATTGGTAATTACATGCTAAATTTTAACATCTCATCCTTAGAAAAGTAAATCTGATGTCTATCCTAGACAACCCCAAAATGTGTTCTGTAACTCATATTATAATTTTGAAATTCTTTCCAATTAGTTTGTTTAAATATTTTTTACATATTAAAATATTTTTATGTCAATTTCCTTCAAAGAAGTGTCACCATTTTTTTTTTCATTTACAGATCACATTAGTAAAAAGACTGAGGTAAGTGTTATTGTAACCATCTTTATTGTGGAAAACACTTGATGGTTTTAAAAATAATGCTTTAATATTTAGCAGTCAGACTTTTTGAGACGTAGCCGTTTAAAGGACAGGTCATAGGTTTGTTGTGAGTGAACTCAATCATGTTTCTGGCAATTACAAAGATATAAAACACATTACATTAGAATAAAAATATGATTATTTGCATGCAGTAGAATATCATTTGGCTTTAGCATCCTCATTTTTGTGTGTGCATGAGCCAAGCAGTTAACACATGTAAGTTTAAAATTTTAGGGAAAGGTGGTGTAACACTCCAATCTTTATTAAAAACATCCTGAAAGCATGTCTCAAGATATTTTGGAATTACGGAAGTTGTGAGGTAAGCTGTGATTTCACATTTGATATGTATGGATAAGATTAACCGATCATTTACTTCTCTTACCCTTCACCATGAGAGGGTAGTGCAGCGTATACGTAATTTCTTAGTGCTATTGGTTACTTTTTTTTGAAGACTCCTACAGCGTCTACGAACCTTTTAGAATTGGGAGGTATTACTATAAAATATCTTCTAATATTGAGGAAGGTACTAATTAAATGTTAGAGTTCTTTGACTTTTTAAGGTAATAATTAGAAAGTTCCATTATTCTTCTACTAAGTGTGTATTCTTAAAATTCCATTAATTGCTTTTTTTAATAGTTAGTGCTCTTTGACTTCACTTTAGAATACATATATGGTTTTTGACCATTTATTTTGTTATTTCAGGTATTTGCTTCACAGGTCAGGGAAATGAAGTCTGTTTCTCAGAAAACATCATCTAAATAACACTGTGACTATATTAAAAATACAGGCCTTAACTAGCACAAAATTGATTTGCTGTTAAAACAGATGGTGGGAATTCTTTGTGTTTACAAATCACTGTCACTGTTTCTCAGATTAAATGACCACAAACATAGACTGAGTATTAATTTTTATGTTTCAAAGTGAAAAATGTGTACTTTGGGGCTGATTCCAATTTTTTTTTAACCATTGATCAATTTGGAAGATAGCTTTATGCAAATGAGAAAACAAATAGAAAGGTATACCCTGTTCCTAAGACACTATCAGCTACTGTTAATGGAGAGGAAAATAATTTTTATAAGCTGTTCCATGCTTACTTTTTCTTCTTTCCTGGTTTGAAAGAAGAAAAAAAATGCAGACTGACAGTATCTCATCTATTTAATGTTTTTAATCTGTATGGTATTTAAACAAAGCATAGGTATGTGGCCTAGCATATAGTTTTGAGCTGTGTTCTAATTGTTTGTTACTATTAAATTTATATATAAAATTCACTTTGAATAATCCTAATGATTAAGACATTTTCTACATTCCAAATGCAGTCTAATTATAATTTATTTCCTACACAGCTATTTTAAGAAATTGATCAAAATAATATATAATTCAGTTCTTTTTTTCAGAGTTCAAAAACTAAGTCTGAAAATGTGTCTAAAATGATTTGTATTTTATACTCTTAAAAATGTACTCATTTGTTACATTGTATGGTCAATAACTGACTTTTTTTTTTTAAGTATTTCCATCTTTGGTATGTTACTTATGCCAAGAGATTTTTTTTTCTTGAGTACTCTAAAATTCCTAATCTCTGTTGAGAGCAATATGCATCTCAACCATCCCCTCTTAAATCAGGTATTTACTAGGTAAAATTCAAAAGAGAAAATATTTTTTTACTTCATTGCTAGGTGATGAGGAATGCTTCAATTGCCTGTATATTCCTCTAACTGCTAGCTAAAATTGTCCTCAGGTTAATTTCATCATTCTTCTTTTTTGTTCTTCATCCATCTTGATTATGTGTTATGAATCTCAGTGCTTTCTTTCCTGTTCCAATGCGTCATAAGTTCTCTCACCCTGAAACAATAAAAATAAAAATGAAACATGGGGGCTGGAGGTGGATGGGCAAAATAGGTAAAGGGGATAAGGAGGTGCAAACTCCCAATTAAAAAATAATTTAGTCATGGGGACAAAAATACAATGTAGAGAATGTAGTCAATAGTACTGTAATATCTTTGTATGTTGACAGATGGTAACTAGACTTATTGTGGTGACCATATATATAATATATGTGATTGTTGAATCACTGTGTTGTAGACCTGAACCAAATATAATTTTGTATATCAACTCCACTTCAGTACAAAAAAATTAAAATGACACTTGCCAGGAGTAGAGGATGGGAACAATTACTTTTTCTTCATTAAATGTCTAGGAGATGTCTGCCACGGCGACTACATCCCCTACCCATCCTTCACTACAGTACAGTCAAGAACATACCTAGAGAATTCTAGACAAGCAGAATGAGTAATAAAATAGGTGCTTGTATATACTTCTTAAAAATTATGCCTCTTAAGGAAAAACATTTGATCCTTAAGGTTGTTCTGTTTCTTTATTTTTAATTTTAGTGTGTTGCCTTTTTAAATGCCAGTGATGCTGGGTGGCATATCTCATATCTATTCCTTTCTCTTTAGTCCCACTTTTATCTGGCCTTCCCCACTCGCCTTATAGTACCATTCAATAACTTTAATATTTTTAGTGATTATTATGTCTTTGAGTCTAAAAAATCAAGTCTTCAGTATGCTTGATTCGACTATCTAGAGGAGTGCTTAAGAAGTGGTAACAGTGGTTGCCCAAGGTGGGACAGGGATAGGAGAAAGGCTTACTTTTCACAATGTAAAATTTTGAATTTTTCTTTCATGTCCATGGACTACTTATTAAAAATTATATTAAAAATAAAAAACAGTGGATGAGAGAGGGAACAGGGGAACAAACCCAGTCATTCTGGCTTCATTAGGAAAGCCTATTTCCTTTTTATTGCGCTATGTTTCTAGCACGTCTACCTTACATAATGAGAGCTTCGATAAATAATTTATTCATTTTAGGCCCTAATTATATTAGCTGAAAAGTAAGGTTGGATCTGTTGGTAAAATTATGATAAATGATCAGTGTGTGATTGAAATAAGTATTATGTGATAAGAAAATGAACTCCAGGGTTAATACTACTGGAACACAGAAGAATAGCAACAATAGTTAGACCATTAAATTTTTAAAGCAAATAAATTCTGCCTAGGTTTTAAAAATCTCACCTAAAAACTGACTTTACCTAAGCAGTTCAACCTATTTCCTGCTCCTCTTAATGTTCTGAGTTCATTTTTGTTCCCATGCCTTTCCTTATTTGTGTTTATTATATTTGTTAGCTTTTGCTTTTCAGTAAGAATAACCCAACTCAATCCAACATAACCAAATAAAACCCCCAAAAAAGTGCTTTTTTCCAGTTTGTATACCAAACAATGGAAGAATAGGGAGAGAGCTTGCCTCATACACTCTAGATTTATCTCCCAAGTCTCAGTTGCTATCTGTGGCTTCATCTCTTGGCAGATCACATAATTACAGACAGATCTTGGGGTTACATCTTTATAGGATTTCCTATAAATTGTTAATTAGCTCTTGAAGCTTTATAGATTCAAGTTCAATTTTTTTTTAGGAGATGAGGGAAGCAAAAATTATGTTTCCTACATGGTGTGCTATGCTTCCTATCGTATCATGTCAGGGGGCATAGAATGTCTTGTTATTTTTATGATGTTAAAATTGATCATTGGCTCTACCATTTGCCAATAAAAAGAACCAGGATTCCTTGAAGAAATGGCAGCTTCTAGGACTGCAAAGTGGATATACAAGATGAGCCTGGATCATCTTGTAATGCCAGAAAGTAAGGAAGTACTCAGAATACAAAAGAAATAGGGTCTTGTCAAAGGGACATAGGAACCAAACTGATATACCTCCCAACAGCCAGAGTTGGCACATTTTGAGAAACAAAGTAAATAACATAGTATTGGTACCCTAAGTATAAAGTACATACTCGTGAGTCACTAATATAAATAAGTGAGTAAATAAATGGGAAGAGAAGAGGCAAATCTCTCATACAGAAAATTCCAAGTAATTTATGTAGATATTCTTCTTCCTGGAGAAGCTTAACTCCCTCCACTCTCTTTGAGTGTGGATTGCTCTTAGTAACTTGCTTTCAAAGAGTTGAGTACAGAAGGGGAGGGAAAGTAACATTGGAGAATCCTGGCCAATGCATCCTTGACCAGGTGATCATTGTTAATATTATTAATGATAAATCATGTTGATACCATATAGTGTTGATATTATATGATGAGAATAGACTATACTGGTGTGGTTTTCCCCAAAAGGAACACATAACCCTAGTTTAACCATGAGAAGAAAATCAGGCAAACCCAAATCAAGGGACATTCTATGAAATACCCGACCAGTATAACCAGTATTCCTCAAAACTTTCAAGATCATCAAAAACAAAGTTGGGAAACTGTCATTGACCAGAAAAGGCTAAGGAGACATGACAACTAAATATAATGTATCCTGGATGGGATTTTGGAACAGAAAAAGGACATGAGGGAAAAACTAGTGAAGTTCACAGTGTGGAGTCTAGTTATAGTAATGTTCCAGTGTTGGTTTCTTAGTTGTGAAATGTACCAAACTACTGTAAGATGTTGGGGCAACTGGGTGTGAGAGATAAACAGAAACTTTGTACTATCTGCAACTTTTCTGTAAATCAAAGACTATTCTAAAATTAAAAGTTTATTTGAAAAATTCGTCAGTAGGGTCAGGTGTTGTCAGATATTATAAAGTTTCCCATCAGACTTCACTCAGTGCTTTGAGCAGCTATTAATGATTATTTCCTTGATCCATATTTCCTTGGAGCTTATTCTCCATTAAATTTAAATTTTACTTCAGGAATACATGCATATAGTAATAGAAATGGTACAGAATTTATGAAACTAATAGTCTCCCAGTTATTGCTCTTCCTGTAATTTACTTTAAAAATTGTTCTCATATTTTAAGACTGTGACTCTGCCTCAAGCCATTCAAATAGTATTTAGAGTTTTTCTGAACATTCTATGTGTTTTAAAACTACCTTGCCTAGCCATCTATTCTTCCCT